TTCTAGATATATAGAGATGTATTTGAGACAGATAGATAGACAGTCTTCAAACCTTTCAAAGACCTTCAGAAAATGGCATTTAAAAGGATTTAGGTTTTTTCTTAATAATGAGAAATGTCTGCTCCTGGCAGCACCAATTACATCTGAGAGGAAGATGGGCATCAAAGAAACTAGTTATGGAGTTTGCTTTTAACATGGCAAGATTAGCCATTTGGGCAAGAAACTGCTCTTGCCTAGACTGTTTGACTATTGCTGTATAAACTGGACATTCAGGACCCATAGGAAGGTGACTGCTGAACTCAAATAGTCCTTCAGGGTTCCTGATTCATGGAAGAGTCTACGAGACTTTCTGCAGGACACAGAAAAATGACTGACAGACTGCTGATGCAGATGGACAGTTTGAAATTTCCTGCTTTGCTGAGAAGTCTTCTGGACACATTATGGCCTATGGGCTGAAGATGGATGCCCCAACATTACAGAGAAACTTCGGGTGTCTGTCCAGGCAGCAAGATGTCTCTGTCAATTCTAGTGTTTATATATTATCCTTCTGTGGTCTTTGATGGAGTTGAAGACAGATAGTTATAGTTTTCCCTAGTTATGATAAAAGATAAGCTACATATCAGACTTTGGACTCACAAGGATGGGATAGATGATATTTTCTTTAAATCTTGCTGAATGTTGACGGAGAAAATATTGTAACTATGTTCTTACTTGATACTGTTCTGTTAAAGTTAAGACCTTTCTTTTTGTTTAGACAGAAAAGAGGAGATGATGAGGAAAGTCCTGTGTATATGTCAATAAGGCACTGTTGGCCAATAGGGAAGCAAGATAGGTGGGATAATAGTCAAGGAGGACTCTGGATAGGAGAAACACATGAAGTCAAGATGTAACCGCCATCGGGATAAGAAGCCCGGAAACTTCACCGGTAAGAGAAATACTTAGATTAACAATTATGGGATGAATACTTAAGTCAGAGCTAGCCAGTAAGAAACAAGCAAGGCCAACAGCTTCATAATTAATACAGCGTCTTGTGTGTTATTTAGGTACTACAACACGGCAGAGCCCAGGAGACTGTCGGGGGATAAACCAAAGCTGCTGGCAAGGAAAAGGCTTCACTCTACACAATGCAGCCATTAAGTCATTCACAAACCCTACACCAGTTCTTCTCCACAATTAATGTGCATACAACACATTTGAGAAGTTTGATACAAGAGACGTTTTATCTGAGTAAACCTCATGCTCTTCAGTTCACACAAGCTCCCAAGTACCCTGCTGCTTCAAAGAGAAAACCACTTTGGGTCGCTAGCTCAGAGTACCGCTGTTTGTTAGAGCACAATATGAGCTATATGGGCAACAGGATGTTTTAATATCCACATTCCCAAGAAGCAAAAAGAAATATCAGAACCGAACTCAATATTATGTCAATCCAATATGTATCTATGTATGAGACTACACATTTAATTATACAGTTATTGTAGCACATGAAGGTACACAATGTATTAATTCAATGTCCCAAATATGTTTTCAACATAAAATTAACATTAAAAGTTATTAAGGTATCTTAGATTACTCTTCTTCATAGGCGAAAAACTTTAAGTATAGTAAACAAATTTCACACATACAACACACCTCTATTTGGACCAGTGTCCAGTAGCGGAAATGGAGAGATGGCTTGGTGGCTAAGAGCAGTTGGCTGTTCTAGCAGAGGACCCAGGTTCAGTCTCTAGCACTTACATGGCTGCTCACAACTGTGACTCCAGTTCCAGAGGATCTAAGCTGTCTTCTGGCTTCCACAAGCACTGCACATACGTGGTACAGACATATATGCAGGTACCCATGCACATAAAAAATAAATCTAAAAAAACGTGCTCTTGACACAAGTACTTAGTAGCCCTGGGTAGATAGCAGTTATCAAAACAAAATGACAGGCCTATAGCGCTAAAATAGAACTGCCTATTAACGTTTAGAGTCTACTAACTTTGGTAATATCATCTGAAAATATATGTATAAGTCTCATCCAGATATAGTAAGTCACGCGTGTACTCTCAGCACTTGGAAAGCTGAGGCAAGGGGATTGCCACAAGTTTAAGACCAGTTTAGGCTATGATGTAAAATCTTATCTTAAAACAATAAAAAATGAAGTGTCATTTGGAGAGGTGCTTATCTGCACATATGCACTGATGCTTGCCAACATACCTACGAAGCATGATTGTGTCAGTTACTCTTTGCCAACGTCCCACAAACTAGTGTCATCTGGGAAGAGGGAACCTCCATTAAAGAACTGCCTCCATTAAATTAGCCTTTGGGCATGTCTACATGGCATTTTCTTAATTTCTTCATGATTGTTGATATGGAAGAGGCCAGCCTACTGTGCATGGTATCTAGATGGGTGGTCCTACATTGTATATGAAAGAAGATGAGCAAGCCATGGGAGACAAGCCAGCAAACAGTGCTCCTCCAAGATCTCTGCTTCAATTTCAACCTCCATGCTGCTACATTGAGTTCCTGCTCTGACTTCCCTCAATGGTGGATTGTGACCTCATTGTTAGAGGAAATAAATCCTTTCATATCCAAGTTTCTGTTTTGGTCATGACAGCAACAGAGAAGCAAACTGAGATGATAACCCACAAGTTTCCTTCTCTGGAGGGAAGCTATGAACTCTCTCCCAGGCCATGGACCCTGGTACCCTCGGGAGAACATAATTGTCCCTTCCTCATCTCTGATGTTGACAGGAGCTCCAGTGCGCCATTCTCAGGGAGCTCTGCTTCTCCTGATCTCCCAAGTTTGATTAAGGATTGTCTAACAATTGCCAAGAGCTCAATGGCTAGGAAAAGAAGGAATAGGTCTTCTGATGACACTCCCATCCCAATGTCACCCTGTCTATAAATGGTAGACATTGTAAGAGTTAACAAGAGTTAAATACAAGCAAGAGATTGAGGAAAAGAACAATTACAAATAACACTTAAAAATAAAAGTTGTCCTCCTAAAATTATATCTTAACAAACAGGAAGTGCTGAAGTAAAAATCCAATTTTTTATTTTCATATTTTCATAACATGTATCATCTAAGTTACAATATATTAAACATATGTCTAAAAATACACACACACACAAATATACAGACTATGTGCTCACAATGATGTGTAGAAGGATGATAGAGATTGCCTGGTAAATGTGGTCAAATGCTACTTCTGGATGATCAGATTTGATGTTTTAATTTTACTAGTATATTTTTTCAATATTAATTCTTATTAGTTCTTTGACATAGTTTTGATCATATTCAACCCTTCTTCCCTCAACTCTTCCAAGATATACTTCTTTCTCTATCTACCTCACCCAAATTTGTATCCTTTTTTTTTAAGTCTTCAAGACCAATGTGTGCTTCCAAAGAATTATGCACACTGCAATGTGTTCAACTTGCCAAGAACTACACTCATAGAGAAAACTGTTTCTCCTTTTTGTAGAAGCTAACTGTTGTCAAACACTCCATGGCTAGGAATAGAAGAAATGGAGAACTCCCATGCTAGGATTTGGTCTGGCTTAGGCTTGCACAGGTTTTAGGCATGGTATTAAAATTCCTCAGTGCATAGGTGTAACTGTCCTGCTGTGTCCAGAAGACACTGTTTTCTTGTAGTTATCCACCATCTCTGGCTTTTATACTGTTTCTGTTCCCTATTTCTGCATCAATGTGATGTATGTATGTATGTATGTATGTATGTATGTATGTATGTGAGTATGTCCCTCCCCTTTAAGGCTAAGAATACCACAGCCTTATTCTCTACAATTGGCCAGTTGTGGGTTTCTTTATTAGTCACTACCTACTACAAATGGCAGTGTCTCAAATGAGGGTTGTGAGATATATTGATCTATGCATATAATAATAAGTCATTAGAAGTTGGTGTAAACAATGTGATCATTTAGCAGCATGATGGTATTAGGTTCTCCCCCAGAGCCTAAAATCAGACTACCTATAGATTCTTGGATTGATAATAGTATGATGTGTGTGTTTCATTTTGTGGAGTCAGTTTTAAATCTGACCATACAGTGGTTGGTCATTCCCATGTTTCATGGGGGGAATGCTCTTCTATATGCTAAGACTATGTGATTTTTTTTTGGTTGATGAATAAAGCTGTTTTGGCCAATAGCTTAACAAAGTAAAGCCAGGCAAGAAATCTGAACAGGTATAAACAAAGGTAGTAGGTGGGTTTGAAAAGAAGCCTTGTATCCACAGGGGAGGCAAGATGCCAGGATATCACCAGTAATCCAAGACCACATGGTAATACACAGGTTACCAGAAATGGGGTAATAATTAAGAGAGAGCTAGCCAGTAAGAAGCCTAAGCCATTAGCCAAATGATTGTAACAGATATTAAGCCTCAGAGTGGTTATTTCATAGCAGCTGTGGAGACCCAGTGGATGGGAAGAAAACAGTCTGGTGGAACTGAGATAGACAGAGAAAGTCTCCTTCTACACGTTGCTCATAGCATATAATGTATCTGTGAGTATTTCTTATATGGCAGTCATTATTGTAGCTCAAAACACTCATAGTTGGGTATTATTGATTATTAATTTTTATTAGCATATACTGTGTTCTTAAGGGTTTCTATTGCTGTAAAGACACACCATGACCACAGCAGGTCTTATAAAGGAAAACATTTAATTGGGAATGGTTTGCAGTTCAGAGGTTTAGTTCATTGTTGTCATGGTAAGCATGGTAGCATGCAGGCTGACATGGTGCTAGAGAGGTAGCTGAGAGTTCTACATTTGGATACACAAGCAAGAGGAAGAGATTGACTCACTGGGCCTAGCTTGAGCATCTGAAACCTCAGAGCCCACTCCCTAGTGAAATACCTCTTCCATCAAAGCCACACCTTCTCCAACAAGGCCACACCTCCTAATAATGCCACTCCCTATGGGCCTTTGGGGGCCACTTTTATTCAAATCACCACATATACTGTGACTATTCTATTTGTTCTATTTACCATCTCTCTTTTATATTCACCTTTTACTTTTCTTCTAACACTCTTCGTTGAAGCCACCGATTTGAGTGATTCCTGTTTCTCAGCATCCCTGACTGGTGACTAAGTTCTTCTCCCCAGGATGTTCACATTTAGAACCTACAATACATAAGAATGTTATCAACATCGTGGTCCATGTGGTCTCCAACTCCCATTGTTCCTACTACAGCATGTTAAGTACTCATTTGTTTCCCACCATCTGGTCTGTTAAAAACCACTTCGTGTTTCAATGTTGTGTTCAGAGTGCTATTCTACTTCATCTTTCCACTGTTTTCCTTTGTGTAGGCAGTCAGTATTGCATTTCATCTGTGTAGCACAGACTTCTAGACACTTTCTCATGATCGCAAGTGACAAGCTCTTTGCGCCAGAACTGACTCCAGCTAGCCTTCTGTACATGCCATGAGTATTTATACAAGAAACTCTTCTGGTGTATATAAGCCAGTGTTAATTTGTTAACATGATTTTAAACATTTTAATTTCAAACATAATTTGGAACAGTTTACAGTAAACAGTGAAGTAGAAGTAAAGAGGAATCATCTGACAAAGAGTAGAGAATCCAGTACTGCCTGAGTACCTAGGGTGCAAGCATCATGCTGGTTGGTGCCTACACTGTGACCCCATGGTGATCCCAAGACTCCTCCACAGTGAGAGATAATATTCAGTAGCCAGAATTACAAGTCAAAATTTAACAGCAACAACAAAAACTGGGATCAGTTGTGCTTGAAACAGCTCCAATACTTACTAATATCATGAGCCCTGATTTCTCACCTAAAAGGTGAATGGAGCGCAATATCTTCCATACAAGGCAAAGCTGACGTTAAAATGTGTGGTTTATTACAACTTGATATTCACCAAAATGTACTCACTAGTTGTGTTTATGAATGCTCTAAGCCTTGGAGATTCAACTACAATAAAAAAGCCCCCACTTGCCCAAGACTGCCATTTCAGTGAAGGGGAATAATAAAACATTAAAAATTATCTGAAATGGGAAGAAGACCTTCAATAATGAAGAATGACTGGCAGCTACTATCACAGTCCTACGGAAGAAGTCACTTTAGAAGGCAGTGTTGAAGAAAGAACTGAAGGAAACCACGGAGCAGGACAAGGATGTTGTGAAGGAAATAGGTATAGGGAGGCTCAGCATCTGCCTCCCCCTGTTGCATGGCTCAACTGCTTCTCAGCATCTCCTAACACAAATTTGACATCCTAACATATAAAGGTTGCTTTCCTAACTGCTCACTCTAGGCCATACACTTCAGGAAGGGAGGAATCTCCAGTGTTGACAGATTTTATCTCAGACTGCCAACAGTGTCTTGAATCCATTGAGGCAATCTGTCAGTTGCTCACGGCTCTGACAGATGATGTGGTAAAAAGCGGCATCAAGAAGAGCAGAACATTAGCAGGAGGAGTCTCTGTGGGTAGAAGCCCATGAGTCACTTAATGTGCCACCCAGAAGTGGCAAGACCAGTTGCTCTCTCTGGTTCTCCGAATCAAGCATCTGGTGTTTACCAGGCTTGGTGTGCTCCTGAGTTATTTCAGCCTTGTGGGTCTACTGATGAGCTTGTTCATTCCTAGAGGAGGAGATGAAATTCAGTGTTGCAATTTCTAGGAGAAAGCACAAAGTTTTGTCCTTTTCAGACATTTGTCATGAGCCAAGTGCCGCTGTGTTCTTTCAAAGATGCCAGGAAAAATTGAAATGCAGGGTGAATGATGACTGACATGTTGATCATTTCTCTTAAGTATGACTCCGCTTTTTCTTATTTGATCCAATTTTTATTTTGCTTGTTTTCATTAATAGAATTGTTTTGAGCATTATCCATGTTACATGATGTGTTGGATATTCCTGGTTGTTAACTCTACTACATTTAGAATTAAAGCCCCAAAAAGGAGGGCACACATTAGAGGAGATTTTTGTTTAATTTGAGTAGGATCTAATCTGGATCTTTGAGTTAGGAAGACACATGTCTTTAATCTAGACCTTTAAGCAGGAAGGCACATCTTTAATCTCGGCTACTCCTTGTGCTGGGAGCCAATATAGCGACGTAGAAGAAGGAAGCTTTTTCTTTGTGCCTGCTTGCTCTCACCTTGCTAGCAAATGCATTTCTTCACTGGCATTAGGGTCCTTTCCTACTTCTTTGGGATCCCAGCATCTACTGAAGACCAGCCGAGACATCCAGCCTTGCAGATCATGCAAATTCTGGATTCTTGGCCTTTCCATTCATAGTCAGCCACTGTTGGATTAATAGGAACATAGCCTGCTTTTGATGTTCTTTGCTTTAATGAGAGAAGTCGTAGCATGTTTCCTTAGAGGAAATTCAATGGAATGAAAAGAATGATTGTCAGACAGAGGGAAAAGGCAATATTCTGAGCAGGACAGGGAACATGAGACTTGGTCCTTGGCAGGAACATCGGGCACCTGTACAAGCATGGAGAGACAATACAGTGCCATAGGCAAAACAAATGCTCGATAAACAGAAGTCAATATGTTTGATGGATGTGCTATCCTCAGGGACCTTAACTGCAGATCTAAAAGCTGAAAATTAGAGGAGGGATTCCAAAGGCCTTTCTGTGTTAACTCTGTTTGAAATCTGTCCTTTGCTATGTGTGGAATTCCTCCCTTCTTTATCTCCTCCTATCCAAATCTATCCTTTATGTACACATGTGTTCTCCTTAAGTTTCCCATAATTTTCTCAGTTGTGCAAACTTTATGTGTAAATTTACAAATGCAGCTTCTAGCTTCCTTAGTTATATTAGCTGGATACAGAAATCCCTGCTTTAGTGAAGTATAAACTAAATATAAATTTAATATCCATTCTATGTTTTAATTGCGACCTCAGGATCTACCCGAACATAATATGAAATGAACAAACATGAATAAAAAGGCTGACTTACTTAACAAAGCTTATGTGTCAGTGTACTCAGCTGAACAGGAAAAATTAAAACCTTACATAGTCTAACAAGTTATTTGAAATGCAGATTAGATGTTTTTCTGTAGACATATGAACATCTTATTTGCCAGTCTACACATGTGAATGAATACAGTAGAGACTCAGAATAGTTTCCCAGTAATATTCAGAAAAACAGCAATGACATCTTCTGAAGTTTTCACATCAAGTTCAACAACTTTCCTTTTGAAATAGTTCGTCCATTTTAGAGACAGACTGTTTATCTCTTGATGATCCCTAAAGGGTATTTAAATCAACTGAGTGTTGCTGTGCTGATATAGAATGCTATCCTTGTAGATGTCAGTCAAGTGCAACATACAAAATTTATACCCAAAAGTACTGGAGATAAATATGCAAAAGAATAAGACACTGCCTATCAAAGTCCCCCTTTCCTTACTTTCACAGCAAAACTGTAATCCAAAGCATTAAATTATTACAGAAGTCAATCCCAATTCATTCCTCTTGAGGTCACCAATATCAGTACTGATTAATTCAATAAATTTCTTTAGAAAGGAGAAGAAACTGTGCAAGAGTCTTCTCACTATGCAGCCAACAGACTTCAGGAGTAAGTCACACATGTTTCAAATACATTTCTATTGGATTGCATGGGTGAGGCATCATTTGAAGGTGATGAGACCTGCCACACGGAAGCATGAAAACCAACACTGTTCACACACCAGCACATACATTCATCTATCAAAAAAGCATTAGGACTCAAAGAAAAGAGTGATACCATGAGTTCTGCAAGACAGATGTGTCTACATATCCATCAAAACTGGAAAATCAAGCAGCCCTGGAAGGATTGGCATTGCTCATGTTCTACCTGACAGCATATTCCAGTCTTTAGTGACACAAAGCTTATAGAACCCAAAGAGAATGAAAATGTAAGTTTAAAATCCAATCATAAGAAAATGACAAAGAAGTTAATAGAATATCCTACTCCCCTCTGAAAAAATGTATGAGTGACACTTGTCCCTTATAATTATTAGAAAAGTACAATATTCACACTCACTACACAGCAATTGGGGTCATTAAAGCAAGCATTGGTCACACCAAATTCTAGGAAAGATGTGTTGAAGAGAAAGTTTCCTTTTGTAGAGAATGCAAAATGAAAAGACCACTTTGAAACAAACAAATTGATGTTAAGGTGTGTGTGTGTGTGTCTGTGTGTGTGTCTGTGTGTGTGTGTATCTCCATGTAGCCTTGTCTTACTGGAGAATACCTGGGTGTCCAACCTCCCTGGTGGCTATGTAGCACCTTTCCTTTGTGTTTCTTTTCCCTGCCTCTTTGGAATTCCTGCTTAGCTAAATTCTGTCTGTCCATTGGCCAAAACAGCTTTATTCATCAACTAATAAAAGATATAGAAGGACATTCCCCATCATCTCCTTCTTCCTATCTAAAATAAAAAGGTTTTAACTTTAACATAGTAAAATTATATATAACAAAACAGTTATTGGGTTAGTATTATAATTACAATATTTAGCTCATTTACATTATTTTAACAACTATTAGTTATAGACAACTTACATTGATATAGATTCTTGTATATTGATATTTACGTAAAATTATTTTTGTATCGTTACAAACTTGAAATTATATTTCTTATATTGTGTAGGTTCCTCTTTCTATTTACAATGTTTTTACACACTAATACAATGTTAATTCATCATATTATATGTATGTATGTTTCTACATACATAAGTTAAGATATTTTGCAAGCTGATACATTTAAGGATATTTTGTCACTATATAGTTCTACCTCTGATTAAGATATTTACATATACATATACCGTTACAATTTCATTGTCCTCATGCTGCCACATCTGTTAAAAGATTGTTTATTTTTATATGTAAAGCTTCAGGCAATAAGCAATATATGTTATTGAGAATTACAGGTTACAGTCACCCATACTTCTCATACCCAGTTTTGCTAGTCAGGTTTTCTAGATGCACAGAGATGTACCCAGCATAGATATTTGATCTTCAAACATCTCCCCTTTTTTGGAACTTGTTCACATGCTGGTCTAAGTCATTTATGTCTGCTGAATACTTCTTTACAAAATTCATGTTTTCTCATGGGACTCACCAAAGCCACTATCACAGTCTGAGGTCACTGATAGACTGACCCCTTTAATTTGTGGGTGAACACAGCATTATCTGTCCTGGAGAGCTGGGTAGAAAACTCCACTTTCTTGAGTTCTTTACTGTCATTTTTATATTATTTCTTTCTCTTTTTGCTATCAGACTCATTCCATGCAAGTTTTTGGATGCCAGAAAGAGTTCTTTAGCACAGTTTTACCTTGTGCTCCTTTTCCCCTTGTGTCTTGCCAACAATAATAAACATCAAGACATATCTTTAGCTCATCCTTTTTTACATGAGCAAATTTCCACTGGGTAGACATCTTGCCCCCCTCTTATGTTTTACTACATATAGGAGTGGCCATGCAACTTCTATGGCAGCCAGTTGAAATTGCTGTCCTGGTTTTAGGGCATCTCTATATTTACGAATAGGATCACAGTCATCAAGCAGGTGTGTCTCCCAGTACCACAGAGGAGATGGCAGCCTCACTAGAATTTCTCCCATGACTCTTTATTCAGACTTTCATTATGCATAGAGAACTTGGCCTTGGTATATGTCTCTGCACCCATTGTAGGGCAATGCAACAGCTGACACAACAAGATCTACACTATCCCAAACTTCATAAGGGAAGGCAGCCATTTGGGGGTCCCCCTCAGATACTCCACCCTCAGATGTCCATTCTTATCAATGCCATTGGGACTTTTAAAACTACTTAGAGGCATCCAGACCTTTAAACAAGGTATTAAGTGAGAGGTGTCCTTTAGTTTTGTTATAGTCCACTCTCTGATATAAAAAATAGTTATTAGTGGAATCTTTCTTTTCTTTTGATGTTCTCACAGCTTTATTTATAATGCACAGCTTTACAAAAAAGATCAAGAATCTGACATGGCAGCCTTAAAAGATCAACACCTCCATAAAATACAATATTATGAAGTCACTTAAAAGAATCCCACTAAGCTAGAGTTAAAAACAAAGCGAAGCAATTAAGTGAGAAAATAAAATATGTAATCAAATACACCTTAAAAAGACAGCAGTCTGGTGTTTGCAGTGGGTGGTTCGGTCCAGGAGAAGGCTACTGAAAAGAATTGACATGGAAACCATGTCTCCCATTTGTACTCTGGGTGATAGGTACCTCTTTTTCATTTATACCTTCTAATTATGAATTCATTCAATCAAAAAAAGATGCCAAGCTCATTAAACCAGTGAAGCCAGAATTTGGGGCCAAAGAAAATTGACTTTGCTTGCTTACTTACTTTGTTTTTGCTTTGTTTCGTGGTTGGCTACAGCAGAGATGAAGGGTAACTTTGGGGAGACAGGGAGGTGAACAGAATTGGGGTGTATGATGTGAAACCCCTAAAGATTCAATAAAAAAGTTTTAAAAAGTAAACTTTGCTTAGAACAAATACAAATGCTGGGCTTTATATCAGCCATGCTCACACACTGATAATTTATCATGATGGCACTGTTCTAGGGGCTAGAGGGACAGCTGAGTGACTAGCAGTTGGGTTCCCAGTACTTACTATGGCAGCTTACAACCACCTGAAACAAGGGCTCCAGTGAATCCTGCAACCTCACCTGGCCTCCACAGGCACCTTCACCTATGTAAGCAAATGTATTTCAATATGAAGAAGACAGCAGCACCCACAATGAGTTGTACAGAAATAGAGTATGACCTGTGAGTTGGTTTTCTCTCCTAATAACCCTGGAAAGTATGTTGATTTAAAACAAGAACCATCTCCTACCTCAGAATACAAACTTCCAAAAGCTTTCATGGAGCATACCTAGCAGAGAGATGAGCGGTAAACATTCTACATGGTGCCACACCCTGCTCTACCACTATTGTTACACAGTATCCTTTGTACACCACAAGAAGGGAAAGAGACCGTACCTATGGGATCATGAAACAGCAAAGTCTTTAATACCTCACTATGCAATCGGGGTAGCTGATTGATCAGGGCTGTAGGACAAGGACTTGAAATCTTGGAGGGGTTGAAGCAGGATTTATAAACACAAAACCACAAACATCTGTGCCAAGTCACAGTTACAGTTTTCCACCAATCAGAATTCAAAGATTAGAAGAGGCTTTCCCTATGTGTTCCATCATTGTCAATCCACACAGAATGTAACCTTTTCTGTCCAACCAATCAGATTCATTTTGTTGTCGTTGTTAGGAACAGCCATAATGTTTTAGAGAACTAAGCATTACAGAATGTTTCTATTGTTTAAGGGGGAAGTTGGTCAGCTACCGGAAAGTTCCCAGATCCCCTAGGGCTTGAGAATTTGAACTTTGTTTCACCCTAAGATAAAATGGAGTCTGAAGTCAAAATGGCAGTACTTAGGACAAAGTGTTTTTACCTGTTCCCAGCACTATTACAGCAGTACCACTATGTTCTTCATTCAAGGTAATAGAGTGATGTATTGGCATACTTAGTAAGTGGCAAGGAAAGGTCTAAATCGAGGGAGCATGGTTCCATGTCCTCAACCACTGTGACACACACTCATACTTCTCAGCAACAAGTCTAGAGCATAAACAGATAACACGACCGACATTTATACATGACTGCTTTCACAGCAAAGCTCTCCATGTGGGCTTCCCCAAAGTTTCCTCCTGGTCAAGCATCCTAACCCAAGACCCTCCTGCGACTTGTGCATGCTGGTGTTAATCTACTGTTTCCAAAGACTTACACATTCCTGGATGTTTCTACATCCCACATGCTCTAGGGTGCACTCAGCACTCTGTGAACCTGTGATGGGGAAGTCTTGTGTATATGTCAATAAAGCACTGTTGGCCAATAGGGAAGCAAGATAGGTGGTGCTAGGAGTCAAGGAGGATTCTGGGAAAGAGAGGCAGAATCAGTCATGATGTAGCTGCCATAGGAATAAGAGGTCCGGACCCCTTTCTCTGGTAAGAGAAATACTTAGCTTAACAATTATGGGGTAAATAATTAAGTCAGAGATAGCCAGTAAGAAACCAAGCAAAAGGCCAACAGCTTCATAATTAATATAGCCTCCTGTGTGTTCATTTGGGACTGATGCGGCTCTGGAACCAGGCTGGCAGGAAGATTTCACTCAACAAACCTGTAATGTACTTGACACCCATAGTAACTTGAGGAAAGAAGAAAATCAGTGTGCCTCCATTTCTTCCAAAGAACTTGTCCTACATTCTCTTAGTTCACTAACATTTCCATCATCTGCTGACTTTTTTATTAAATCCAGGTGATAAAGAAAAATAAAGTTCTAGTAAATGGGAAAATAAGGTTCCCAGCCCTACACATAAAGAAATCACAAACTTTACCAACAAATCCACCTGAAAGTCTAGCTAATCATAGTCTATTTCTACCCAGTGCTATGTGCCACATCTCAGGGCCAAGTCTTGGAGGCATTTTGATGGATCTGGATGGGGTAAGCATTCTGGCACTCAGGAGCCACAGAATACTGAATGTTACACAGCTCAGATGGAAAGGTATCCTGGAGCTCGGGAGCCAAGGACTATCACAGGCCACAGTAAGCATAGGAGCTTACAGCCCTGCTTCAGGGAAAGGATTCCCCAGTGTATTGGCTTGGCTCCAGCAGGGGAGGGGGATGTTTGCCCAGTGTAGCAGTTTTGCTCCGGCAAGAGAAGGTTTCTCAGCAAAGTTGGTACAGTTCAGCTTTGCTCCCTGGAGAGTGGAGAGCAGAGTGTAACAGCTCCACTATGCCAGGGGAAGGTTTCCCCAGCAAAAGTGTTACAGCCCTGCTGGCTCTGCTCTGCAAATGGTTGTCTCTGCCCCGCCTCCTCTGCTACCCCGAAAAAGAAGGTCTTCACCCAAAGCTCATCAAAGGGGTTTATTGGGAAGAAAGAATCCAGGAGAGCATGAACAGCCCCAAGCTGAACAGACACAGGGTTTATATAGGGCTTCCAGGATGGGCATTGGTCAGATTTCAATGATGAGCTCAGATTGGCTAGAGGTCCTGCTCAAGGATTGGATAGTTTCCTAACAGGGTTAGGGTTAGATTTGGCTCCGGTTTTAGGGCCAAAATGTGTTTCTTTCACTGGTCCTTTTTAGCCTTTTGGCTCTAGTTTTAGGGCTAGGATGTATTTCTTTCACTGGTTCTGGTTCCAGGGACAAAGTGTGTTTCTTTGGCACTGGTTTCAGGGTCAGGGTACATTTCTTTGATTCTGGTTGCAGGGCCAAAGTGTGTTTCTTTGGCTCTGCTCAGGGTGTGTTTCTTTGGCTGGACCCTTTTCCCTACAAGTCCGACTCGGGAGTTGCTACTACCATTGGAAAATCTTGTATGTGAAACACCAATGGAGAAATTAAACAACCTGGTAGCTGAAAATGTTCCCCATCAAATATATGCATCTATATGGTGTTTTTAAAGTTATTTAGTGTTCGTTATCTCTTCCCATACTCATTCCTCTACCCTGTCCTCCATCCCCCACCCTAATTAGTCCTTCTTGCTCCATTATTCACCATTTCCCCTTCATACCTTTCTGGTTCTATCTATTCTTTCTTGAGGTCCTCTGCTATTCTCTACCTCTCTCAAACTCTCCTACCTCAATACCCATAATAGCCCTTTGCCCTTCACTAGTTTCCTGTCTCCTATAGGTATTCCAATTTAAACACACACACATTTAAAGGTTCAAAGCCAGAATCCACATTTAAAAAAAAGAAAAGATGTAACATTCATCTTCCTGAATCTGGGTGACCTCCCTCAGTAAAATGTTTTCATGTTCTATTCATAATAATTTCATTTCTCTTAATATCTAAATAATATTTCATTGTTTGAATTACTACTTTTTTTGGTTTTTTGAGACAGGGTTTCTCTGTATGTGTTGGAGGTTGTCCTGGAACTTGCTCTGTAGATGAGGCTGGCCTCAAACTCACAGAGATTTGCCTGCCTCTGCCTCCTGAGTGCTGGAATTAAAGGCATGTACCACCAACACCTGATGAATTATTTCCTTTCTATTACCCTATTATGAATAGAGCAGGAATAACATTAATGAGCAAATGTCTATTTGTAAAATACATACACATATAGACATTTTAAATGGAGTTGCCCTATAGCTGAAGGACAATGCCTCTCGTTGACATCATAGACAATAAGAGAGCAGTTACCAATTACGGGTTACCTCTTTTGGAGAGAATTTGTTAGTGGGGGACTCATGCACCCTTGTCCAACATGGCAGCCTATTGCCATTCCTCTTGGTTACCCTCCAGAACATGATTAAGACTCTATTGTTAAAGGCACCACATATTTGTATCACAGAACACAGAAGTATCAAGTTTGCTACTGACCTGGATGCTTCATCCCTGTTGCCAAGCTTTCATAGAACTAGATGGCACTATGCATGTAATCAATGGTTTTACCCAACTGGGAACCCTGAAAGTCACAAATAACAATAAACCCAACAAAATATGCTACAATAGTGGCAGGAATGTTAGGGGAATAACCAACCATTTTCTGATAGGATTTAAGACTTGCTCCATAGGTCAGAACTCTTGCCAATACCATAAATGAAGCAAAACAAACAACAACAAAAACAACAACAACAAAAACCAATGGCTAGCTAGATCATAACACCAGGGGAAGAATTTGCTAAATGGATATAGTACTAATCCAATTCCTAATTGTCTTCCAAAATCATCAGAGAAGCTTCATTTTGCAGTATATGGTGACACCCACCACTGGTCAAGGTGAAGGATATAAAAGACTGTGGACTATTCAGCCATAAACGAAACATCTACACACCTTCTCAAAGTTTAAGAACTGGGGAGGAAGGGGCAGACTGCAAAAGCCATATGGATGATTACAGTGAAGCAGTATTTTCAGGATACAACAGGACAGTTGAATATGAGAATTTACTGTGAATGTAGCAGCAAACACAAGATCTGCACAAGACGAGCCAAACAAATCCCCAGCATGGGGGACAGTACTAGTCATGAAATACTACACTGTCTGAGGGGATGTTGGCAACTACAGCACTAGAGGGGAAGACAGCTGTCTTCAAGAATGCAGCCCCTGAGAGGTTACCCATGATCTAATAGACAGTCCCAGATCCACACAGTATTGGCAGCATCAAATTGACTCATTAGGTTTCCTTTTTGAAAACATGAACAGATGAAATTGGGAGGGAATAGTGATGGAGTTTAGGGAGGAATTGAAAGGGAGGTAATGAAGGATGGACTTGGTCAAAATGTATCTTATATATGCGTAAAATTCTCTACCAGCAAAAGAATAAATACAAACGTGCATGTATCTTTAATTTCTTAGCCATTATTTAGGCTTTGCATATTTGGACCGACAGCCTCCAAAACAATACAGAGAAACCCTGTCTCGTAAATACCAAACACACACACACACACACACACACACACACACACACACACACACACACACACACACATTCACTGATAAACTGCAATCCAAAGTATTTTTGTGCATTTGCTTTGACCAATTAATTCAATGGCACACAATATCTCAGCTCCATTTTTTTGTAGTATCTTTCAGCTAATGGGTTTTGGTAAGTGTCCTGAGAGTTGTTTTGGAGGAAATTAGAGACAATGAGATGGCAAGCATATCTTCTTCAGTCTCAACTTCCACAGGGTATATGAGCACATTCCACATCTGTCAGGTGCTAGAGAAGTGCAAGTTTACTGTGGGCTTCTCCTCCCACCCTGAGATCAGAATTGCTGCAGCCCCTGTGGATTCCAACTGCTCCATCCCTGAGAAATAGTCTCAGTGTCAAAATTGGTAATTAACCACAACTCCCACTTTAAAAGTAAATCTGAGTTAAGATATACCACAAAAAAATGTT